TTTGCGCCCCCCCCCCCCCCACACACACACACACACACACACACACACACACACACACACACACACTTTTCTGACTCGACCAAATACCGAGCAGTGTGTGGCCATGCTGTGGACCCCTTTTTTAATTGACTTTTGTTGGAGGAGCCAGGTTAAAAATTGTTGCCTGAGGAGTGTCTACAGCCAATCTGCTGCAGTCACCATCCTTGTAGTCTGACAGCAGAGGGTGCCAGCTGCCTGAATACAATAGCTGCCAGGGAAGATTTCCCCATCCACGCTGTTAAGCTACATTGAGTGTATGGCCAGCTTAAAGGAGAACTATGAGGTGAGTGATTTTCCACTCACCTCATAGTTCTAGCCGACCTGTGACAATGAGACTGTCACAGGTCGGCTCAGTAGATCGGGAGTTGAGCGAACACATACCATGTTCGCTAACCTCTCGATCCTGTCACGGCTCTCTGCCGTGACAGGGGGAGGGGCTGGATTCCCCGCTCCGATCTGCCAGCGCTGACTGGCGGAACGGACGGGGAGGGGGCGGGTATAGCTGGCTCTGCCTCTAGATAGGCAGAGCCAGCTGTCACTCACGCAGCTGGGCTGATCCCGTCATCTACGTCGGGATCCACTCCGGCTGCGGCGTCTCAGTATACCGGGAGCTGTAGCTTGCGGTATACTGAGCTTAGGGTAACGGGAGGACGCTAGTTTGTGTCCTCCCGTTACCCTAAGGAGAACTATGGGGAAAAACACTGACCCCATAGTTCTCCTTTAAAGAAGAAATCCAGGAATTAAAATTTTTTCATAACTCCTTGCAGTGGGACTACCCCCACATTGCAAGGGTTAAGTGCTCGTTTGTGTCTAGGTGCTAAATTAACAAAGACTTAAAGTTCCAAGCCGGCCAGCTGCCAAGGTGCTTCTTCCTACCTGCCTGTCCCCTCCTCTGCAGCACATTGGAATGTCCCTCGACATCCTCACATCTATGCACAATGTATAGAAGTGATGATTTACTACACCTTAGACTGCTGCAGAGGTCTAAGCCCTCATTCACATTTGAGCAACGTAGAATATGTGCGTTTTCAACGCGTTTTGTGTAGCATGTTTTTTGCAAGCAGATCATGGCACATTGATGTGAATGGACAAATGAGAGCAAAACTCCAGCAAACAAGCATTTGTGAGCCTTTTCATTGAAGTCTATGGGGCCAAGAAGGGCAGAATCCGTCCAAAAGAAGCTCATGTACTTTCTTCAAGCGACTGGCGTTTTGCTACAAGGGACAAACCGATCAGATGGTAACATGGCCATAGAAATTGATTTTTGGGGGGGCTTTCTTGAGGGCAGAAAAAAATTCTACAAAACACTCCGTGTGAATGAAGACCAAAAGTCAAAGCTTCCTCTGAGCTTTGGGTGAGTATATCTTCTTTCTTTTCTTTTTCTTTTTTAACGGACACAAATGAGAAGTTAACCCTTGCAGTGCGTTTATAGCCTCACTTCAAGGGTTAATTGAAAGCAAACATTTCCTGGAGTTTTACTATATAAGTCACTGAAGTCGCAGCATACACAGGGCTGTAGTCTTCCGTGCTCATAAGGTAAATATTTGTTTTTCTTCATTTTAAGTGACACTACAGCGCACTAGCCAGCGTTACAGTAGCCAGCAACACACCCGGAGCTCAGTACAGCACCATGTACATTCCACAGTGGAAGTGAACAAAAAAAAAAAGTTTCCTGTTCAAAGAATATTTTTTTATGTTGAATAAAGCAATATTTATTTGCAGCCATTCATTTTCTTGAAGCAGTTGGATCATTTTAATACTTTTGCGTTTTGCGTTCGGTATTTGCTGTCCAAAGTCCAAACAATAGCCTGCGATTTGTTCCTGTTTATCTGCTTTGCCTGATCCCTGATGGGTGAGGTTTATAATGGGAGTTGTTTTCCTGGAAGAATGCATAGAATACATGATACTTCACAGCCTCCATTCTTGTATTTTTCACTTGTCACATACCAGTGTAAGGATTATTTCCTGATACATCTTTATACATTCTTAAACATGAATATGTGTTTCCTTTATTTTGGTCTACTCTGTTCTATCTGTACATTGTGCACTTTATATACTGTTATGGCTGCCGTACTGTTATTTCAGCGGGAACTTCACCCTACCTTGCCAAAATGACATCCGATCACTAATAATTGTCCTTTACTGAAAATCTAAATGCTTAATAGTCTATGGAGTCCAGTGTTGTCTTCCTTGCAGAGGAAGTTTTTCTTGCACCACTTTGCTCCTTCATCCTCTATCTTGAAACAAGGTCCTGCGTATGTACAGATGTCTATGCCATAGATCTCGCAAACTACCTCCTGGGATGTGTGACATAGACATCCAAGGTGGCAACTGGTGGCCAGACTACATGATCCTTGCCTAGGTGAGAATTCAGAAAGTAAACCTCTTCAAAAAAAAAAAGTAAAAAAGGTAAAGTCAATGTTAAAAAAGGTCTACAATTGTGTAAGAGGGAGGGGGAGGAGGCAAGTGAGAGAAATAATTTTTATGGGTGGAGGTCAACTTTTAATATATCAGGAGATATTTGAGACTACCAAAGATCTGCATGGCTTATTGATCGTTCACTTGAGTCAAAATTGATAATCAGGTTTGAATGGCACACAAGGATAGCAACTTCTATTTAATTTTTTATCCAGGCATGGCTCTAGGTCGCTGGGCCACACCATTAGTTACAGAGGGCCAGTACAGAATTAAAGGAGTTCTGAAGTCCCAGCATATACTATCCTGTTATAACATCAGCATTGTAATAGGAATACATACTAGAGTTGTCATAATGCAATCGAAGCTTGACAAAAATCCCTTTTTATGAAGTACTGCGTTCTATAGTAGGACTGGGATAGATCTTATAGAAATACATATTTATTTTTCGGTTTTGACCATAGATACCCTTTAAAACTAAGTAAACTCATGCCAGATCTTTATTTTCCAAAGCACCAGATGAGACTGAAACCCATGTGCTCTTTTATACAAATACCCATTTCATCTCCATAGAAAGTGCTGTAAAGGGGCCAGATGTGTAAAAACAGGGCATTTTGACAAGTACTTGTCAAAATGCCCCAATGTTTGCGCTATGTTTTTTGTTTTGTTTTTCACTTACCTTCGGCGTGTGTGGGAGGAGCTCCAGGTGGGGTCCTAATTTAGCTGGCCGGCGACTGCCTGAGGATCCCGACACGCGGGGCACCCCAGGCAAAAAAAAAAAACATAGCGCAAACATCGGGGCATTTTGACAAGTCAAGTACTTGTCAAAATGCCCTGTTTTTTTCCGCCCTCACCCTGCAGCGCCGTAAGGCGGTCGCCTGACTTGCCTTGCGGTAGCGCCGGGCTTGAGTAGCATGCAGTAGGGGCTTCGCTTATTTCTCCATTGATTGTCATTGTCTGTAATAAATCTCTATATTTGAGGCTGACGATCACCATATGTTCTTGCATGTATCTGAGTTTGTTGGGTTTTTTTTTTTAGGGTGGAATTATTTGGCAGCTTGTTTTTAGACTTATGACTGCTGTCTCATATGTATGCCCAGTTTAAGATTCTGAAGGGGCCTTCTCTCATAGCGCTGTTAGTTAAACCAAGGCAGCATAAGCACAATAAATGCCACATTTCAGGTCACAGTAAATGATGAGCTTTGTAACTTGAAACATTGCAACTCTTGCGCTCTTCAGTTTGTTGTGCCAGTGATTATCTACGGCTCATTAAATACCATGTTCTGAGCAGTTGTACCTATTTAAAATTTTATCATTTAGATGGACTGTGTTTCTCTTTTTAAGGTCCTACTGTTTCTTTCAAAAAAGAAGTCACCTTACCTAGCATGCTTTAGTTGTCTGCTTCCTTTAAAAGAAAAAGATCAAAGCTTCTAAAGTCAAGTCTTATCACTGATCACATATAATTGTCATTACTTCATGTTCTATTCCTAGAAGTCCAAGACTTGTGCAGCCCATTTTATGATGTGCCTTCTTGTTCTTTGTTGCAGTGGACGGATGTGGACACATGGTTACTAATGAGGAGAGTGGAACATTGACATCTAAGAACTATCCTGGCACTTACCCCAACTACACCCTGTGCTTAATAAAGATCAAAGTGCCCGCTGGCAAAAGTCTATACCTAAAGCTGGCAGACCTGGATATTGAATCCCAAGACTGTGAATCTGCTTATCTCAAAATTTACAAAGGATCGTCCAGTGAAGAAGTTGGTGAGTCTCTGGCCTTTTTTGTGTATTAACAATATGCTCTGAAACTGCTCGTTTTGCTTAAAATACTCTGATTTTATTTTACATGACACAAGTAAAGCTGGTCATACACAAAGGGCCAGTTCACACCAGCCACTGCGCAAAACGCATTGAGTTCTACGGGCACAGTGGGGTGAGAGGTGCTTGTACAGTGTCGCATCCTGCTGTGCTGAAAAAAGTACTGCACGCTATACTTTTGTTACAGTGCGTTGTGGTAGTGTGAACCAAGCCCATCCGTGACTAGCCAAATTGCCTTGTCTTGCGTTGGAGCTGCACTGGAAACTACGGCTAGCGCAGCCCCAGCACAAATGCTGTGAATGGGCCCTAATAGATTTCATTTGTTCAGCCTGTGGACTAAAAGAGATCTAACGGATATCTCCAACCACACTAAACAGCGGGGATGGACGAATCTTGCGTGTCTAGCTATTGTATTCTGACAGCTGTCAGAATATCCAAACTGTTCGACTTACTATTTTCTACCTGGCTCTTTCAACAAAACTCAAATGAATAATCAACTTTTGTCAAGCTGGGTGGTGGTGGCAGGGCCAAAATAGCTTGAATTTTGTCTACTTTTTGCTGACATTGCTGAAATTCGAACGGTATATGGCCAGCTTAAGATTTGAGGGATATCTGTAATAGACAGGTTCCGCATCAATAGGAAAAAATACACAATGATAACTGATGACGAGGAGTCCTTAGACTTGGATTTGTGGTTCTTCCAGTGGAATTTCGCTTGTTTGAGTGTAAAATTACAGAATGCAGAAAGATGGCGATTTTTCACCTTAAATACACTATGCTACGAGGTAAGGAAAACATTAGTTGAGAGAACCCCCAACAATGTATTGCTATTGCATGAAAAAAAAGATATTACCTCAAACAATGGGTAATCCATTTTTTTTTGAGGTCTGTTCATTTTAACCTTGTGCAATATTGCTGTATTTACAAACGTTGTGTTCTTTCAAAAATAAAAAAAATTAGAAAGTCATTTTGGATTCTGTAGCTTTTTTCCCCTATTGTTTCCTTGGAAACTGTCTTTTTAAACAAGGAGCAGTATCGGGCTTGTGATTTGAAGTGCGAGACACTGATTCACACTTGATCATTTCCTCCCTTGTGTCTGCGCTCTTTACATATGCCTGGCTGTCCTTTTAACTAAAGCAGCCTGTCTTTATTTAAAAACAATGGCTGCCCATATGTAGCCTGACCATTGTGAGGAATGTGACAGATGCACCACTTATTTCAGTTGGGAATTTGTCAGGCTGGGTAGAAGTCAACTAGAGCACTTGGATCCATTTGGTATCACACAGATTATCAAACGCTCATGAAAATCTTTTTGCAGCTAGAGAGAAAAGGGAAGAATGTTTTAAATAGGGTGTGCTGCATCCACACCTTGGTCTAGTGAGGGAGTAGGTTACTTGAGGACATTAGACTCTGGCAATGCACGAGAGGATGGAAGGGGGTCGCAACACTGTCTCTCTTGGTGAGCGAGCTGAAGAAGTGAACAAACTAATTCTAGGTATGCAAATGTTCTACTATTATTTCATGTCCATAAGAATTGGATCTAATTTATAAACGTTCTAAAAAAGGCCATCTGCTTTATCCATTACATACATTCGGCTACATACATGCCATGTACGATTACATGCGGACTGCCGCCGAGAGATGCGGCTGTTGTCACCATGTCATTACTTTCAATGGGCACAGCGGTCACATCAGACCAGAGACACCTGGGATTCCTGCCGCAGGAATCTGTAGGTTCTTGCCACAGGAATCCCAGAACGCGATTTAAATCCCTGTGTTAAAGGGGCCCAACGCAGCCACTACACCTGAGGAATGGTAAATTGCAACATATTTCATTCGCTCTTGGATTTAGATACCCTTTAGGTGCCACTTGACTCCATGTCATACAGACGTTTGTGTTGAGTCCTGCGATGCTGAACTTCAAACCTCTTTCCCTAAATCCAGTAAATGTGATTAGAGATGAACTACGCATTATATCCCTAACAATTCGTTAACACTTAGCAGGTTGTGCACTGAGCTTAAGGAGTCCTAACATATGTCGTCTTGCCCTTATGTGACCTTAATTTTCATTTCTGCATACTCTGGTCTGCAGGTCTTTGTCCGTCTGAGCCTTCCGTAACAGCTGTTGCTGCTACAAAATATTGGTTTGAGGAAAAATTCTGGACAGACCAGCATTTTTTAATCTTTTTATTTATTGTTTTTACAATAATTTGATCACTGACAATTTAATGTGCAATGAAACTGTTAGTATACATCTTTAAAAACAAATATTCCATGAAGGAAATGGAGGGAGGGAAGGGACAACATTTGGTTATTGAAATCAATTGCACAGTTTTTGAGGCAAATGATTGCTTGATATATATAAAAGGTTATATGAACACATAGTGGGAGTCAGAGAGGTTGGAGCACAGGGTGGTGCATGAGAGGAGCTCAAGGTTGCATTATGTTGGTCTGAGGACATGTATTTGTATTTTTGGGAATTGAAGAAGTAAAGGGAATGGATACATGTTTATGCATAAGTACACGTACGGTAGGTTAAGGTTGTTCCCTCATTAAGGTGGTGGATTTGGTTAGAGAATGTAAGATAGAGAAGAAGTCATTAGGTATTGATGGCAAGAGCATGGGTATATAGATAGAAGCCCATCCTGGATTTAGTATACAATGTAATAAGGGAGTTTGTTTTCTTTTTGAATATGTAATAATTTGTTTGTGAAACTCTCAATAAAAACATATTTAACAAAAAAATATATATATATTCCTTATGCTTTGAGGTATTTTCTCTCAGTGAATCTTTACTACAAAAAATGTCAAATATTCAGCATGTTGTAAATCTTGTCAGTGTATTTTTAAAATCTCAGAAAACCTTGTTTCTACGAATAATTTATTATATGTAAATGCAGGAAGCCACATTTCCTCTTTGCATGCACAGACTTTCGTTTCTGTTTTGCAGTTCTACAAGTTTCTTTTTTACAATGCAGTTCTTTTTTTTTCTGACCTCTTCCCTTCCTAAATGGCTAATATCTCCCTGATGTTATGGAAGAGCAAGCCCGTAAAATGTGCATACAAATTCATGTTATGGTGCACACACACACGCACTCCTATTGGCTCATCACTGTGATGAGTGGTCTCACTGGCCAGTAGGAATGTGCAGAAGGAAGGGACGGACAAGTTTTGGCGCTATTTGAAGTGCTGAAGCTTTACCTGTCAGAACAGCTAGGAAGTAAAGATGGCCATACACTTCATTTTTTCCTCGTTCAGTCCCAAACGAGAAAACACGATAAATTCCACCATCCACACTAAACAGCACATATGGGGAAATCCCCCCCCCCTTGCTGGGCTGTTGTATTCTGACAGTGGCAGATGTGCTGCTATAAGAATAAGTGAACACTGAGTGTAATGACTTTTCGGCCAAGAATTTTCGGACCAGCTCCTTCCACAAAAGTCAATTGACTTTTTTTGTCCAACTGAGAGGTGCAGATGGGCCACACTTCCGAATTTTTGCTGAGTCAGCAGGACTTTGAGCAGTGTATGGCCAGCTGTCGATGTGAAAGCAGAGGATTAGATTCTGGTGCACTTTATATCTCCAGTAGTTTTTTTATGACGTTCTGTTTAAGGTAAACACTGCAGTAATGACTCATAATGTGCACTTACTGAAAATACACTTTCCCTTTAAAGAGAGAGGAATCCACCTTGGTTATCACATTGCCTGAGGAAGAACTGTCCATCTATACTGCTTCATACAAAATAGTGACATTCAGATTTGCAGTGGAAAACTAAAATGTGATTTATATACAGACCTAAAGGCGTTCCATTTCCAAGAATTATAATTAGAGAAAAAGCTGCCTTACTAAGAGTATATTGTATAGTTTGTCTCCCACCACAGGAAGAGTACCTTCCAATATACATCCTGCTGGCAGTGTACTGCACCTCCAGCACTGCTGATAATATAAAGAGTCCACAGGTTTCAGACAAATGAATGGTGACCGAGAGTCCTTGTGGACCAACAAGTGATCGAACCTGCTGACATCACAATTTCTAGGGACTGTTGTCCTTTTCGTGGCATCTCTTACCCATTTAAAGCCCATCTCCAGAAAAATATTAACCCCCCCACTACCCTAAATGATCACTGGCATGACATCAAAAAACCCTTTTGTAAAAGCTCTTTTTACTCACCTGAAGCCACGGTCATGTGATGATCCAGTCCTGAGTCTTCTCTCTTCCTCAGTTTACAGGTGGGGGGTCCTTTTTGGGTGTCCATGTGCTTGTTTGATGTGGACACTTCCTATTTCTTGTCCTCAGCTGGGGTCCTCAGGATCCAGAATATGAGTCTGTTACAGGTGAGGGAGGGTCCTTATTTGGGTGTCCATGTGCTTGTTTGCTCTGCACACCTCCTACTGCTGTTCAGTGCCAGGGTCCTCTCGAGATCCATGATATGAGTCTGTAACTGTGTCGTTTTGACTCCAGCGGGCTTATGGGGACCAATTAGCATGGGCACACCGCTGGATTAGTGGAAACTGCACCAGCGAGGGACCAAAACTGCTTTCATGACCAGGTAAGAAAGAAAAGGTGCAAGATAGCTTGAAGTAGGGTTAATATTTGCCCTGAAGATGGTCTTCAAGCTTGTAATTTACACCTTTTGTGTTACCCTATGTTGACTCAGAGTTGTGTATTTGCTTATAAGTGCTACACGTCTGTGGGAACACTTCTTCCCAGGTCTTAACGCCAATGTATCAGCAAGAATTGATTAGGTGATTTTTATAAAAATCAATATGATTATTTATTAGAATTGCAGCATAATTTCATCTTTCAAATAGAATTCCAGGCAAATCGCTAAAGCTGGGTTGGGCAACCTCAGCACTCCAGCTGTGGTGATCTGCAAATCCTATCATGCCTCTGCGAGCCATCCATCTTGCAGTGCATCATGGGTTCCACAACAGCTGGAGTGCCAAGGTTGCCTGCCCTAATCTATAGATTTGCAATTCTGTATTTTCATTCTTGTGATTTACACAGCACTACGACACTACACAGACAGGAAGATCACTCTTCTACACCTTACTCCAGTTTTACTTCATTTTCCAGAGAGATGACCTAGGAAGTTGTAATGCTCAATATGAAAATAAGTCTGTCGCCTGCCGAGCTGTCTAGTGTGGAAGTGGTGTGTAAATCAGATAATTGGCTGAACAGATTTGTACATTTTTTTGGCAGCTAAAGAATTACACATGTACTGTATGTATGGTATCTGCATATTTAGCTGGTTGTCTGGGGTCCTGCTTTAAGCTCCTCTTCTTAAGAGATGGTAATGTTTGGTTAAAGTTATTCCTGGACAAACGATGGTTTCCTGTTTTTTCATCTATGTGTGATGTAAGAAATAAGAACAAAGGTATGGTCCTATTGGAAGTTTACTGTGCATTGTGTGTGTGTCCATGGCAGATATTTATAGCGGATGTTAGTGTCTCGGTCTTCTTTTGTCTCAGGAAGCTGAATTTGTCATACACATGTGTTATTAATATCAGTTGACAGGAAACATGCAGGTTGTACAACATAGAGCTGGTTGTTACTGGTAGAGCTGGTTGTTACTGGTTTTGTTTTTAGAAACATATGGAATCTGAAATAAAAAAAATATTAACTATGGACTATGGATTAACGAGCAGCATCACATCGCACACAATCTCTGGTTGTGCCAAGGCCGATTTTGCCAGCCTGGCTCTTTGACATGTCTTTGGACCGACTAGAAGTCTAATCTGATGGCATTCATTTTGAACTGGCCTGACACTAATCTGGCAGGACCCCTTGTGCCTTGACTGCCTTTAGGCATTCCCTAAAGACTCATCTCTTCAGGGAAGCCTATCCCACCTCAACCTAACCACTCAACCATCATGTTCTCAAACAATCCATCCCCACACAGCTCCCTCCTCATGTATCACTTCCCTCTCCCTATTAGATTGTAAGCCCTCACGGGCAGGGCCCTCCTTACCATCTTGTCTTGAATTGTATTGTGACTGTAATGTCTTTCCTATATTGTAAAGCGCTGCGCAAACTGTTGGCGCTATATAAATCCTGTATAATAATAATAATAGTAACATATGTAATATATCATTGTGCAGACTGGATGTGATGAAGACGCGGTTCATCGGGATTACCACCTTTGCAATCAAATTTAAGAACCTGCACTATATATTTGTGTTCACGCAGCATAAAATATATTTCTTACTTTTCTAGTTTCTTTTCAGCAGGATTCTAATAAAGGGGTAGCTTCTATTGTGTCGACTAGCTGGCAATGTGCAATTAACATACAATCTAACAAACCTTTTGTTAGAACAGCCCTGCACATCTCGTTTTCAAATGATAATGAAGATGTGACAGCACAATACAGACTACTTGTGGTAAATATAACTCTCCAGATCTACCCCCCC